AAAAAAAACTTGATTTCACGAATTTTTTTTTTCTAAACCCTCGATAACTTGAATTTTTTTCTCCATAAATAGTGCAGATTTTTTTTCTAAAATTAAAAAAATATTCCAAAAAAAAAAAATTTAAGAATGGCTGACAAGGCATGGAATGATGCGTCTTCCTCTACGATAATGAATGGCTTCAAGAAGTCTGGACTCATTAAAGATCACAAAAGAGTAGTCAAACAATCAATATCGCTAATTCTGCTGAAAACTACACCGAAAATGATTGAAACAGATTAACCAGACACAACATGGAATTTCATGACTTGGTAAACGTAGATGATGCAGTAACAGTGTGTGGTCAGTGGGATGGATGACAATGACATCATTGCTCAAATGAAAGCTTCTCGTGAACTATCATAAGAAGAGGAGAAAATCGAAGATTTAGCGCTCAATGTTACTAACAAACAAGCACTTTCTGCAGTGGACACTGTAAGGAGATTTATTGAGAGGCAGCCGAATATGTCAGAGGAGAAATTTAAAGCTATAGTCCACTTAGAAAGTGTTATAGACAAACGTTCTTACACATCTCTAAAGCAAACAACAATTGAATCTTTTTTTGAATGAAAGTGTANGAGAGGCAGCCGAATATGTCAGAGGAGAAATTTAAAGCTATAGTCCACTTAGAAAGTGTTATAGACAAATGTTCTTACACATCTCTAAAGCAAGCAACAATTGAATCTTTTTTTGAATGAAAGTGTAAAAAAGTGTTTTTAGAATAAATATGGAATAGTAAATAAGGTACGTAAAGAGCATTTTTCTTTATTCTACCATCGATAACATGCGATTTTCAATAATTCGAATTTTCGATATCTCGAATTTTTTCTACTCTCCATTCAAGTTTGAGATATCGAGGTTTGACTGTATATGCAACAAGATTAGAAGACTGTTTACAGTACACAAAGGAAAACAGAAGTTAATGATCCTATCTAGAATATAATATGAGGTTGGAGGGAAAACTAATTACAAAATGTATAGCAGACAGTTTAGCATCAACAATCATCATAATTGTACCTGGCATATTAATTAAACACTGTAAAATTTTATAAAATCTTATGTTATTATAAAACATTATATGACATTTAAAAGGTCAAATTAAAAACTTAAATAAGTAAACCATTAATATTGTAATTTTAAAAAAGTTTAAACAAAACATATACTGTTTAATATAATTTCTAATTACAGAGGCCCTTTCATTTTAGAGCTTCCAGATTCATGCCATAAATAATGATGTTTCAGTTCCAATTATACCATTCAAATTTAATATATAGGGTTAGATGGGGTAAAGTGGATATAAAATTAAGATTTTTTTAAAGAAGCCTCTGAAACCAAAGCATTCAATTCATTTTACTGAAAATTTTGATGTGTGTTATAAACATTGGATTCATATAAGTTAAATATGAGACATAACTTGTCTATTTAGCTTGATTAGCTTTTTTTACAGTAATGCATTCAAAAGAACATGTTTTGGCATAACCACTTAATCCCAGAGTAGGGTTAAGTTAGTATAGTTCTAATGGGCATTAGTATATATTTCATTAAAAACATATGGAAATAATGTTTTAGAAAAAATATGCTCTTAAATAAATGTATCTTGATTATATTTTTTTAAAAAAAATAAGTGCTTAAAAAAATAGTTTTTTTTTCATATTGAAGAGTTAATGCTCAGAACTATAAAATTTAGGTTTCACTTCTAATACAGTACAGAACCTGTTATCCAGAAATCAGAAAACCAAAAAACCGGAACGAAATTCGATAATTTTCCCGCCATTAAAAAAAATTTTTTTTTTCTCCTCATAAGATTTCAGGATTTTTCATTCTTTTTTGAAAGATGTTTAACTTACCATCATTTTGGAAATAATCATTAGTGTATTACTTCATCATTTTTTCTTCTTTTTAAGATTATTTCCAAATATATATATATATATTTTAGTTGGGTTTAACAATAAAAGAAACAGCTTTTTGTAGCCATTCAGAAAACCGGAAAAATCAGTTATCCGGAATAACGATGGTCCCGATCGTTCCGGANCAAATATATATATATATATTTTAGTTGGGTTCAACAATAAAAAAATGGCTTCTTGCAGAGATTCAGAAAACTGGAAAAATCGGTTATCAGGAATAGCGATGGTCCCGATCGTTCCGGATAATCGGTTCCTTACTGTACAGTATATTTTGCCGAACTCTACACAATAGTAGTTGGTTTATTTGAAATATAAATAAGAGTGCAAAAATTAATATCAGCAGTGGTAATTTAAAGAGTTTTTACTTTTTATAGCAGACATATATTTTCAATGAATATAGTTAGTACTTTAAGGACACTGTTTTGTTTTCCATGACAAAAACTGCCATTTGAAGGCAGAAACTTGCGTGAAAACTCATCTATATCTTAATATGCTCATTAAGATACACCATTGTGCTACTTTGATAATTTGTTTAATTGTATAATATGTCTGTTATATTGTTATTCCTCCAATCATTCTTCCCCTCAAAAAATAAAATTTAAAACCATTATGTAAATCATTATGCGTGTTGAAATAATTATGTAGGGCTATAATCAAACAAGTGACTTATTTTTTAGCTATTTTATAATAAAATATAGAGCGTTAGATTCGTATTAAAACTAATACAGAAAAGTTAGAAAAATATTCCTAACACACAAAGCTTAACTAAACCTAACCATATAACCTGTGTACTCCACCTCAGAAAACAATTCATAATAAATAGAATTTTAAAATTTATTCTAAAAATAATTAATGTAGATATGTTCTTTAGATATCTCTCTACTAGTTAGAACTAAAACTAAAAGTTTTTTTTTACAGTTTTTAATGATATTAGAAGAAAGTTCATCAACAGCTTAAACTAAAATACTTAATAAGTTTATCATAAACAGATAGTTTGTAAACATCAAATTTTTTTCTGAAACAGAAATAAAAATGCTTACTGCAATCCCAGTAAACAACTCTAAAAATATTAAACAAAGTATCTCAGCACAAAAGGAGAGAATACATATTTTTTTAACATATACCCACTTTATACATCAGCTACTTTTACATCAGCTGACTCTACAAGAAAGAAAAAAAAAAGCTGTAAATATCTTTTAATACTTTCACTTTTAAATACTTTTTCTTTATTCCTTTCTGAGGATATCACTCCAAAAAAAGCTAGATATTTTGGCATTTCGAAATGAACAAGTAATTCTAATTATAAAGTCAACCTATATAGAAATTTTAAGAAACCTTTAGAACCACTGTGTTTGACACACACAATGAACATAAAATGAACTTAACTTTTGAAAGAAGGTTTGATGGGACCTTCTTAAATTTTAAGTTCTCTACTTTCAAGAAAGCAGGAAAAATAACAATTACACATCATATTGATGATTCAGGAGTGTAACACAAAATTTTTTGTTCGGGGAAAAGGCTAGTACAAAATACAATTGTTTACGCAGATCAAGTATAGCCAACATTTTTGAGAAGAAAGTCACTATTTGAAAAAAAAATAAATTTTTTTTGTTCCGTTTGAAACTTTTTTAGTTCGTAAAGAAAATATTTTTGAAAAGGCTAATTAAAAAGGTAAAAAAATGATATTTATAGACTGATAATGTTTCTTTGTTGTTGTTGCAAACAGCTTATTTATGTAAATATGTAATAAGATTTAAAAAATATCAAAAGATAATAAATCATATTGTAAAAACAATTTAATAAAAATATTATGAAGACTGTCACAAGAGTAAAACTATAACAATTTGCAAAATATTTTTAGAATTGAAGCAAAATTCTTACAGGGGCAATTGTGCCACAGGTTAGACATCCATTCAACGTCTGTATAGTAGAAATTAACAATAATAAGAAAAAAAAAACTCCCTGAGCCCCTAATTTTTTCAGGCTGATTTTATTAAATTTCCCTGTGATTTTTTTTAATTGCATCATTAGTTTTATTATTCATTTCACAGTTCTACCTTATATTTATACATAATAATGTAACACAAAACAATTATGCTTGATATTAAAATTCAAAAAAATTTATCTTTCTTTCCTTTTTCAAACTATTATAAGCCAAAATTTTTTTTTCCTTAAAAAATATTCGATGCTGACATGCAAAAAATTTGACCCCGGATGTCAATTCTCCTTTTAAGACGCAAATGAAAAATGGATTTAAAAAATTACAAAAAATCAATTTTAAAGAGTCATTTTTAAATGCATTTTGTTAATGTTTTAACTTCTAAAAAATAATTTTTTTTAAATATTTAATAATATAGTATATTATAGCAAAGTGTCCAAGTTGGTTTTTTTCTCCACATTTTAATCTTTTAAATATCTCGCTCAGAATTATAGAATATTGAGACTTTATGGTAAAAAACAGTTTCATAATATCTACCTTTTTCAAAATTTATTTTCCTATTCCACATATCATAAAAAATAGAAGAAAATAAAAATAATTTATTTTAATTTAGCAGAAGCTTTAAAATTTATAAATAATCATTTCAGGAATGCATAAAAAGAATGAAGCATCAATTCTATGAAATGAACACATCGGAACATGCAAAGGAAATCTATTTGAAACTATGCCTTTTATTTAAAAAAAAATAATGAAAAGAAACAGAAAATGAACCATTCTAAGACTGAAAGCAACATCACTCTTGTTGCTATCTATTTGAAACTATGTCTTTTATTAAAAAAAAAATATATATAATGAGAAGAAACAGAAAATTAACCATCCTACGACTGAAAGCAACATCACTCTTGTTGCTTTCAATATGTGACTAGATAGGCGAGCAACAGGGCTTGATTTTCCTCAATTTTTTTTGTACTCAAATGCAGTTTCATGATATGCATTAGGGTTGTCATAAACAAAACAAAAAATTACTACCCAAAAATTATCTAAGTAATACAATTCTAAAAATAATTTAACTACATTAAAAGAACACAAAACAAAATTAAAAAAAGAATCGAACTCACCGAACTGTTAAAGAAAGAATAATTAAGTGTGTCTGACGTATTACAGATGCTCAGTTCAAAAAAATCAATACTTTGCTGGCAGCTAAATGGGGAATTAAACCATCAGCAATCATTGAATCAGTGGCTGGCATGCTAATCAATCACTGAAAAAAAAAATCGAATGACATTTAATTCAGCAACTAATATAAACTTAAAAATTAAAGTACACAACTAACAATCAATGAAAATTGTAACAATGGATTAATTTGAATGTAGTTTTAAAAAATTTCAAGTAAAATATAAGTAGCATAATTAACTAAACATTTATTGCATCATTTCCAATATTTGGCGGCACACAAAACTGCTGCGGCACAGTGGTTGAGAATCACTGTCTTAGATGTTAGATAGTAGATATAGTTGTACAGCAGGTGACTTTTATTAATTCTTCAGACCATTAGTGTTGACACTTAGAGCTACAAATTTGTACATGTGCAGAAAAATATTGCAGGAAAAAATTTTTTTTTTCTCATTTAATATTTTGAGACAGTATGTTTTCGGATATTTCAGGTCAAAGGACCAATCAAGTCCAGTGTTTTCACAACAGCCCGAGAAAGCGAGAATCTCGCATATTTTTTCTTTTCTTGCATTAAAAAATGATTACCGCGATAAATTCGCACACTCTGTAAATTAATTTCAAAATTCGCGAATTTCTCGCATTTTGGAAAAAGCTTCGAATTATGCCATTTAGAATAAGATCCGTTTCACTTTTCTTCCTTGATCTTCCATTATTTTCAACATCTGCCCCGTTATCTAGCTTCCCTATTTATCAGTATTGTTTAGAACCTTTTCCAACAACAGAACACAACCCCTTTCAGAGCACATTTCTCTGCAACCACGCATTAACCGTAAGGTCTCTTCATGTAAGACGTTCAAATTTTTAATGCACTAATGTAAGATGGAAAAATACTTTGTAAAGGCAAAATCTTCTATGATGATGCAGCAAAAATATTCAATACTTTAAAAAATAGAAGACATTAAAAATGTGTTATAATTAAAGAAATGATTTTTTTTCTAAGAGTTTTTGTGCTTTTTTAGTTTTTAGAAATCTCACTTAACTTTCTGAAATCACACCCTGTTTCTGAGAAAGGGTGAGAAATTTTCATCCATTTTTTTTCTATGATGAAAACACTGCAAGTCACTTTAAAAGTTTGACCAGGGTTGAGATTGGCCAAAAGGTAAAAAAGCTGAATTTTCATGTGAGTCAATCTTACATGATTTATAGCAAAATTATCAGTAACATATTCTCATCCAGTTCCGCTGATGTTGTAATGCCTATATATAGAAATAATCGTCGACAGAAAAACTGCCACATTAATAGTAACTAATTCACGAAAAAAACTTACTTTTTACAAGAATCGCGATACAGGAATTTAAAAATCGCGTGAATACAAATAGCGATCTTGGATTTTAAAATCGCGTGAATGATACTTGATATTGGATTTAAAAAATGTGAAAATACAAATCATGATGCTTAATTTTCAGATCGCGTAAATACGCAAAATTTTCAGATCGCATAAATAAGAATAAAAATTGCAACGAGCATCTTTTAAATCAGGTAAATAAGAAAATTGATGCTTGATATTAAAATGGAGTGACGTCTGGATTACGAAAATACGAGTTATCTAGCAGACGGGTATAAATAAGGAAAATCATATTTTCTGTTCGTAAAAAGTAATAGATAAAATAAGTAGATGTGCGGAAGAGTTAGCTGCTACGTAGTTTGAATTTTCTATATATCTTTCGATATATTATATCTATATATCAAATCGGAAATAAATGTTATTATATTATTTCAACCACTGAATTTTCAGAAAAAGCGGAATATATATATTTAAAAAAAAAAAAACTGAAACTTTTAGAGAACCGGAGTTTTTGATAAAAAGGCTGAAATTCGAGAGACAAAAGCGAAAAAGTCGGAAACCCGCTAAAAGCGGAAAAATCTCATCCCTGTTTGACCTAGCCACAGAAAGACTTGAAAAGCATCAATTGAAAGGTTTATTTCTTAGCTTTACGATGATTTTGAAAGTTTCTTCTGCTATTATTTGAAAAAATTGTCATTTTTCATGAAAAACTTAGTTTTTAAAACTCTATAACTTGAAAATTTTTTAAATTAAAAATCTAAAAATTGATGGAATTACTTCATTTTATATAAATGACCATTTCTCCAAATTTCTTTAAAATCGTGGGAAGGTCGGTCTTATACTGATAGATCTGATGTGGAATGATTCAATATTATCAAAGTATTTAGCCATTATAGATCTAAAACAAATTATTAAATAGCAAAATATTACCACACATATAGCTTTCAAATATAAAACTCACATGAATAAGGTAAAATTAAAAGATAATTATGAAATAAAATAAATTGAGAAAAAAGCTAAATATTTTTACAAAATTTCAAATTTAATTAAAATAATCATTAAAATATTTTAATAAAATTAAAAGAAAAGGAAAACATTAATTAGATATAGAAGAAAAGCCTAAAATTTGTTAATTTTTCACCAAAAAAAATGAACATTAAATGAAAAAAAAAAAAAAAAAAAAAACCAACTTAATTGGACTCTGAAGAGAAGCCTAAAGATTTCCAATTTTTTTACCGAAGTCGATCCAATTCCAAAAGTGCATTTTTTGAATAAATAAGGAAACCTCTTCAATAAACTTTCTATATAGCCAACATTTACATTTGAATCAATCTTGATTAAATGCGATCATATGTAATCAATACTAGCTCCAAAGGGATGGAAATTCAAGAGTGCTGCAATTAAACACAGCTCATGTTGAGTAATAGTAAGTTTATCAGCAGATTTGAAATGTTCTGTGCTCTTAAATTTATCAGTTAACAAATTTGCTTCATGCTAAGAATGATGAACAAAAGGTGGTGGCGTTCGAGGTCTTGAAGCTTCTTGTTCCATTGTTCCTGGATGACGAGCTTCTCTTCGTAATGCCCGTTGCAAACACTCCCATTCATACTCATCATCTCTTGCTTTAGCAAAATCAACATGAAGCCTTCCAGAATAAGCGCTTTCGTCTTTATTTTCAATTTTTAATCTATAGCCAGATAACATCATTGCCTCATCTACATAAGCTTCTGCAATAAACCGCACATGGCAAAAATTCTTTTTACTCATTCGAACAGTACTTATTTCACCACATCTACTAAAGATCTCACGGACTATTTCTTCGGAAATTTTTTCCGGTAAGCCTCCAACAAACACAGTTTTACAACCTGGGTGTCTTTCTCTTGTCTTAATATGTTGCCCTGGATGAGGAGGATAAAGAACACAAGAGGATAAAGTGATAGTTTCCTTTACTGGAGGAATCATCATAGAGTTGTCTGGGGGATACATAGGATATGGTAAATAGTTTCCCATCATACCATACATATCACCTGTCATGGGCATATAGGCTGCATAAGGATTAATACCAGCACTTGTACTAGGCATCATATCCATGCCTGAGCTAACAGGAAGTGTAGTAGAAGCTTGCATTGTATTCGGAGGCATTCCCATGCCATCCATTTGGTTACCAGGCCACTGAGGATTCATTGCAGCATACATGTTAAAAGGANTGAAAAACTTAGTTTTTAAAACTCTATAACTTGAACAATTTTTAAATTAAAAATCTAAAAATTGATGGAATTACTTACCAGGGGTCTGTCTAGGTTTTTCTGAGAGGTACCTATTTTGTGAAAATTTAGACATAATTTGTGAACAATTAAAAAATAAATTAAAAAATCAACACAAAAATATGGATTTACCGTTTTTTAAGGGACACAAAAATAAAATTTTAAGAAAAAGTATTTTGTGAAACTACCGTTTTTCCTAAAATTGAATTTGTGAAACTACCGTTTTTCCTAAAGCTGACTTTGTGAAGGTACCGCTAAACGGTAGTAAATTCAGCCTGGACAGACCCCTGCTTACTTTTATATAAATGACCATTTCACCAAATTTCTTTAAAATCGTGGGGAGGTCGGTCTTATACAGATAGATCTGATGTGGAATGATTCAATATTATCAAAGTATTTAGCCATATTAGATCTAAAACAAATTATTAAATAGCAAAATATTACCACACATATAGCTTTCAAATATAAAACTCACATGAATAAGGTAAAATTAAAAGATAATTATGAAATAAAATAAATTGAGAAAAAAGCTAAATATTTTTACAAAATTTCAAATTTAATTAAAATAATCATTAAAATATTTTAATAAAATTAAAAGAAAAGGAAAACATTAATTAGATATAGAAGAAAAGCCTAAAATTTGTTAATTTTTCACCCAAAAAAAATGAACATTAAATGAAAAAAAAACAAACAAACCCCAACTTAATTGGACTCTGAAGAGAAGCCTAAAAATTTCCAATTTTTTTACCGAAGTCGATCCAATTCCAAAAGTGCATTTTATGAATAAATAAGGAAACCTCTTCAATAAACTTTCTATATAGCCAACATTTACATTTGAATCAATCTTGATTAAATGCGAGCATATGTAATCAATACTAGCTCCAAAGGGATGGAAATTCAAGAGTGCTGCAATTAAAGCAATTAAACACAGCTCATGTTGAGTAATAGTAAGTTTATCAGTAGATTTGAAATGTTCTGTGCTCTTAAATTTATCAGTTAACAAATTTGCTTCATGCTCAGAATGATGAACAAAAGGTGGTGGCGTTCGAGGTCTTGAAGCTTCTTGCTCCATTGTTCCTCGATAACGAGCTTCTCTTCGTAATGCCCGTTGCAAACACTCCCATTCATCTCTTGCTTTAGCAAAATCAACATGAAGCCTTCCAGAATAATCGCTTTCGTCTTTATTTTCAATCTTTAATCTATAGCCTGACAGCCTCATTTACACAACTTCTGCAATAAACTGTACATGGCAAAAATTCTTTTTACTTATTCGAACTTGATCTATTTCACCACATCCACTAAAGATTTTATGGAGTATTTTTTCAGAAATTTTTTTGAGTAGGCCTCCAACAAACACAGTTTTACAACCTGGATGCCTTTCTCTCGAAGTAATACATACCCATGGATGAGGAGGATAAAGAACACAAGAGGATAAGTTATAGTTTCCTTAACTGGAGGAATCATCATAGAGTTATCTGGAGGATACATAGGGTATGGTATGGTAAATAGTTTCCCATCGTACCATACATTGTCATGGGCATATAGGCTGTATAAGGATTGATGCCAGCACTTGTACTAGGAATCATATTAATGCCTGAGCTAACAGGAAGTGAAGTAGAAGCTTGCATTGTATTCAGAAGCATACCCATGCCATTCATTTGATTACCAGGTGAATAAGGATTCATTGCAGCATATATGTTAAAAGGAGCCATCATAGAATAAGATCGTTGATTTGAATCAACGTTATTCAGTTCTGGAATGCCAGAATTATAAGCAGAAAAAGTTTGAGCTATTGTAGGAATTGTTGGCGGCAGCGAGTGAGATTGAAGCGATTGTTGCGACGAGATCTTTAGATGAGATTTTTGAAACTGCTGCTGAATATTAGAATTTGAATTTACCTGCTCTTCTTCATTGGAGTTTTCTTCTTTATTTATATTTGTCAGATTTCCAGACTGATGATTATCTTTCTTAAATTCTTCATCAGGACTCCGTTCCCTTTTTATACCTTTTGGAGGAATTGTTGGTTGCTGCGATTGAGATTGTTGAAAGGCGATCGTAACATGAGATGGATGAAACTGCTGTTGAATACTAGAATTTGAATTTACCTGCTCTTCTTCATTGGAGTTTTCTTCTTTTTTTCATATTTGCCAGATTTCTACACTGAGGATCATCTTTCTTAAATTCCTTTTCTGGACTCCGTTCCCTTTTTTCATCTTGTGTCCTCTACATATCTCGAAGCTTTCCTTGCCAGTGATAATTGGAACAAGACGGATAAAATGATTATTTAAGGTAGGATGTCTGTGGTATTTATTTACGTTCATTTAAAGTAAACGCTTCTGACTGCCTTTTTTTGTATAACTTAGGACTCAAGTTAGTAATTAATGCTCAATCTAATTATTAACTGCAACCTTTATTTGAGTATTGCTTTTTACCACCTTCCCCTGAATTCGCTAATCATAAAACTCAGTGAACGGAAAAAATTGTTTGAAAAAGTTGGTTTGTGTTGTCTGAGTTATAGTGCAAAGTTCCATACAACCAGTTCGCACAGTTTTCCCCATTGAAAAAGTTGAAGCGATGTGAGCAAAACGGCATCCGTCCGTTCCGTATATGTCTGTGTATCGGTCTTTATTTGTTGTGTGATATCTCGTGCCGGTGTGTTTAATTATAATTTCGTTTATTTATGGCCCCAAAATTTAAATTTGCCGATGGTATGAAGTTAAGACTGTTCTTTATTTTAAAATTTCCCTTTTTTATGTGAATATATCTGTTTCTCGATATAATATTGACTTCATGTAAACGGGATGGCAATTTTTATGTAGTTAATTAATAATTTTTGTCTGTTTTGTAGGAGAAAAGGTCTTATGCTTCCACGGTCCACTTTTATACGAAGCTAAAGTAAGTATTATGAAGGTTATTGCTGTGAAGAGTAAATGTTGTATTTCTATGACTTAATTTGTTTTATTATTTTGACTGTTAATTTATATATGAGAGAATCGTTCACTTATTTAAATTTTGTTAGTATTAAGTCATAGCTAAGAGCAATTTCTTGTTTTTATATAAATTCTAACAACTAGAAAATATGTCCTATGTCATGCCAAAACACAAAGTAAAAAAAAAAACTATATTGTCCTAATTATGGGAGATATTTCCGTATTAGTTCTTGTTTGTGTCAACTACATGGCCAAAACGCCATTTCTGTCTTGTACTTGCCAAAGTTTGACTTTTCGATTTTTTGGTTGACATCAAGGTGGACCCTTCTAGTAAGTCTCCGTATGATGTTTGGGACGATTTCCATATCGTACTCTGTGGCAGAATATTTGCCAAGTGTTAACAACTTCCGGTCAGTGGCCCGTGAGAAATTTAAAAAAACATTGCAAAAAGGGACCAACTTGAAGGGTGTAACTCGAAGCCATGTTCAGGCAAGCCTCTACATGTTTATTATTTGTTTTATAATTTTTTTCTATTTAAATTAGATTTTTCAAATTTGGTGGCTTAGTCATTGCTTTTGTCATGGCAGATCACGATATGGAAAAAATCCCCTGATGTTTATTAGTTACGCACTTGCCACGAACTAGTTTTGCAAAATTTGATGATGAGCCCCCGATGGCTTAGGGGATAGAGCGTTCGCTTTTCAATGAGGTGAACCAGGTTCGAATCCCAGCAATGTCTCGGGACTCGCATCCGGCTTGCACCGACCACAGTGCTGACATGAAATATCTATCCTCAGTGGTAGACAGATCATGGGGTTGTCCCTTCGCCGTCAGGCTAACCGGGGAAAGTTCTTGTGATCTTCCTCTCCATGTAACGCAAATGTGGGTTAGTTCCATCAAAAAGTCCTCCACGAAGGCAAATTTCTCCCAATACCCTATCCAGGAGTTCCCTTGTCTTCTGGATTGGGTGCAAAATTACAAGGCTACGGAGTTGAACATTAGTAGTTGTAAACCCATAAATGTCATCTGTTCCACGACGGTTGTAAAATAAAAAAACATGATACTTTTTTTGGCGCAGGTACTGGTACACAATTTTTTCTCAATTATATAAATGAGATGATAATCTCTGTTTTTACAATCCCTGCCATTTATCTTAAGGCCTGGTTTCTTAGGACAGGTCGGCATTATAATACGTCAGCTTAAAATGAGCGCTAACCCATGATTGGTCAATTTGTGAGTTAAACAGCATACGTGATTGAGCGTCAGACTGACGTCCGAATCAACTGCAGTTGGATTACAACATAACGTTAGCGACCGAAGCAATAGCTGACATCATTCAACAGAGCATTGAAATCAGTCAAGATTTTGATTTTAACATTAAACATAGCTTCTTCTTCCTCTTAATTTAGCTCAGCTATAATGTGTTTTTTCTTGGACAAAGTCCGTATTGGTTCTTTAAAGCACTGATCGACAATAACAAATTTAAAATGAATATTTGTTTACATTATTAACGCATGCGCAATGCAAGATGGTGTCTGCGTTGGACAGACTGCTCACGCTGAGCTAACAAAACAGTATTTTTTTGGCGTCAGAGTAACGCTGACGCCCAGATAAGGCGCTTGTCCTAACAAACCAGGTCTTTACTGATGAAGGATTGTCATTGTTTAACAGAAAGGTGTATTAGTTTAAAAACCTATTTTAAGTCTTGATAATATGAAAGCATATTTTCAAGTTACACTAAAAAAATTTTGATGACACAATATATTTTATTTCTTAAAAAGCCTGATACTTCAACTTCTTTATTTCTTTTTATTTTCATAGTGCATCAAGGCGCAAGTTAAGGAGAAGATAGTGAAATATTATATACACTATAGTGGTTGGAATAAAAAGTATGCTTTAATTAATATTTGATATTAATATAATGAATATTTACATGTTTTAATCCATTTGTTTCACATATAGTTAAGGAATTTATATGTTATAGATAATATTGATTTTCTTAATGAAATCAGAGAGATTCCATATTTGTATTGGAATACTTTTATTACTTTTTATGTATGTTATTTTTACTTATGTATTTTATTATTTTGTGTATGGCATTACATTTTATAATATAGTTCTTATTCAGTTGTGATTTGTTTATAAAAAGAACATATTTTTTTGCATGTTTTATTATTGATAATAGTAGTTTAAAAGGAATATTCGACCACTACTTAGTACTCGCGCTTTTTGCAAAATGTTTGGCCATATATTCAGCAAAGTATTTTTTAGAATAGTATTTTTTGCCAAAACTTCTTTTTAAAAAGTTTGAATTGGTTTAATAAAGAATAATTTAATATCGTATTTTTAGATTAATTAGATTAAGATTTTAGATTAATTTAGATTAATTCGTATTTTTAGATTTAGAATAATTTAAGATCGTATTACATTTTTAGAAATATTTTTTCACGTATTTGTTATGCTCTAAAACTTTCACATTGATTGCAAATTAATGTTCTGGAAGACAAATGCAGAAATGAAATTTAAAGAATTTAAGCTAGATTACTTTATAATGAATCCTTGAGTTTCGCACTGAATACTTTTTTTTAATTATATTCAAACAAGTCAATTTCTTTGTTTTTCTGGCACATTTTGTTTGAAGAATTTAGAATGTTTTTTTGTTTTGTTTGATTAATTTGTTTTTTATTTAATAGGATATTTTAACAGAACGTTTCTACTAGACTTTTTCTTTTATTTTCACTTTTTTCTTGTACAGTAATATAGATAATTAGTAACATAGAAAATGGCGATTTTGAACATTAAAGTTATGTTTTAAAAATTAGGAACAGTTTTTTTTTTTAAAATTCTCTTTTACTTCTTTATTTACTTTTCTTTTTATTATGACAGCAGTTTTGAAGAATTTCTAATAAACGTTCTTTTATTTTCACTTTTTTCTAAAAAATATAGTAATGTAAAACTTAAATTTAAAATTTTACTGTTAAATACTTTGTTCAAAAATTACTAAAATTTTTTGTTTTGGTTTGTATTTAGCTATTTTTTTAGGAAAAACTTTTCTCTTATTGATGTTTTTATTAAGACAGAGCCAGGGTTGGGTTTTTGCTGTCAAAAACTGGTTTTTGACATGACAGTCGTGAAAACCGTGTTTTACCGGTAAAAACTATCAAAAATCCACTGTTTTCTTTCATTTATGGCATATAGCAGACAATACATTATTGTCACATAATTGCTTTTATAAATGAATGTTGTAAATGATTGCTATTGATTTTTAAACTATATACATGTGTCATGTATTCTTATAGAAGGATATACATTCATTCAGAAATATTGTAATATACTTATTGAAAATAGTGATACTTACTTTTGTCATTATAGCTTGATTTGCAAAGGATTCAAAATTTTGCACTTCTTAATTGTTAGAAGTAATCAAACAAGCAAAAAAGCTTGGAACTATTAATAATTTCAAGAACTAAAAAGAAGAATTTAAAATTTGGCATTTCTTAAATATTAGAAATAAGCTAAACAAAACTTTCAAAACTTGTAACTACTAACAAACTCTATATCACGATATA